AAATGAATGAGCGTTATGAGGCGTGCACTTTTGGATTTTCCAAACTTTTTTTTTTTCCAGCAGACAAAAAATGTTCAGTACTCTCATATATTATATTTTTTATTTACAATTTCAAGTGCATTAAAAAATGGAATACTTTCAAAACAATGAAATAAAATAGTTGAATTTTTGATTTTTTTCACGGTTCAAAATTGTAAGGATTTTACGTCTGCGTAGTTTATCATTATATTTTCATTTCTTGCTCGAAATTACAATTTGAAGCAAAAATGTATTGTATCAACAATTGTACATGGTCAAAAAAATTACGAAAATTTTCTACCAAAAACAATATCAAAAAATTATTAAGATCAACCTTGACATAATTAACCTTGTAAATTCGTGAGTATATTTGAAATAAACATTGAATTCTCTTTTGACTGTAAGTATATTTCATAAAATACAATTGAAATTCATTTAATGATAATAACAAAAGTTTCGTGAGGTAGTTTGTTCCGCTAGGTAGTTCTCAAATCTCATTACCCGCATGACTTAATATAAAAATAATTCGTAATTGAATTTTCTAAATTCCAGGGAATTCCGTGGGTGCATAATTCCAGTGAATTTCAGAACCAACTGAAAGTGAAATAACTCGAGATAGAAATGAGATAGAAAGATAAAGACCCGAAGATGAATATGGCGAGACTGAAATATGGATATGAAGAGAAAGACGAAAGACAGACCTTGGAAACGTAAGCAGAAAATGAAATTAATGGTGGCTGTCGCGGTTCTCAAGTTTGCTTCAAGTCCAAATATAGTTTCTGGAACACCTCTCTACATTCACAAGTAAATATAATCGTGTACCCCCGTATCAGAGTAATTATCCTTATCCTACTCTTCTCGCTCCATATATTCGCACGATATATTCGCTTATGTGTGGTGTCTCTGCTGACTATTATAATTTCATTGTTTTAAAAGTAAAACTTTTTTTCCCGTGCAGGATTGGTGTCGTTAGTTCGTTAAGTTTAAAAACTCGAGGGACAACAGTAACAGTAACAGTGAGGTGAAATTTCTGCTGTATAAAGCTCTATGTTTAAATCCGTTTTCCGATAAAAAAAAATGAAAAACTTTATGCACAACTACAAGAGACTGAAATTAAATAAAATAAAAAAAAAAACAAATAAATACTGGCGATCAATTACGGGAAGCAATTTTTCGCAAAACTACCAACCAATCAATATTAAAAAACGAGTACCGTCTTAATAATGTGAACGATCAACTTACTTTTATATATATATATATATATATATATATATATATATATATATATATATTAATTGAAAAGTTAAGAAAAACTTACTTGAAATAACTTTTTTTTTCCGTACGATAATATTTAGAATAAGTAATGCAGAAATAACATTTTATACTGTAAGCGAGTATAATAAATATTTTTATAAATTCAATTATATCAATTAAATATTGATTTTTATAGTTTAAAATATAAATCATTTAATCAAATTTTTTAAAATTTTAATCTGAAGTTTTGATTTTTTTAGTTTTTTTCAAAGCGCTATTTGACGGTATAAAATACAATTTTTGTATTCTTCTTTTTTCCATGTTTTCATTAACTCTCTTATAAGGAGACGATTCAGCGATTATACGCCATCTGTTAAAGATTTTCAACACTACTTTCGACCATAAAATTATACAAGACCATGCATATATGAAGATATCAAACTAGACATATTGCCAATTTTTATATCAGGTCATATATGATCTTGTCGATCTTATAGAAAATTTTATATAAAAATATCAAACTACACTAGGACATATATATGTACTAGGCTTAAAATGAAAAGAAAATAATTCATCAATTTTGCAGTTTATTATTATATAAATTAATTTTTTATAAAATATATATAAATAAAAATGGTAACGGTTATTACACACAAAAACAAAATTAAATATACTAAAATAATAAATTTTATGGGTTCTGTATACCGACTTAAATAATTAAACTGTACCTAATAGAGAAAAATTCGTGAACCATGAAATTCATTTTGAATAGTTTCATTATTTTAAATCAGGACAAAAAATTCATGAATGAATCAAAATTTACCAAACCCGAGAAAAATTATTTAATTCAAAAACTTTTCCGTTTATTTAAAAACAATGGAATTCTTCAAAATATTTTTCTTAGGTCTACAATTTTTCACTAAAATTAAGTTAATTTTATTTCATTGAAACCCTTTTTACTTGCTGCTATCTCAATTAAAAATTAAATTATAAATGTGAATGTATAATTTCATCATTAAATAAATTAAATCTAAAATAATGAGGAAAAAAAAATAAAAATGTATGATAAGAAAAATTTTTCACGGAAAAAAGAAACGAAGTAATATCAAATTCCATTAATGTTTTAACTTCAATGCGATCCATTGATATAATAATTGGAATGGGATCGACATACCTATAAGTCAGTAGAAATACTCAGTATGTCGTCAGCCGTAAGTGAATGCCATTGATTAAATTAATTAACGGGACAGTTAAAAAAGGGCATAATTAAAATTTTTCTACCTTGAATGTCATTATTACGGCGCATGTTTTCACGGGTGAGAGTCATCTCCGAGATTCGCATAACGACCTCGTTATCGCTGTCATGTGAGCTAGCTTAATTTTTTCGAGCCCTGCACTCATGACACTCGTGCTTCATCTTTAGGTCAAGACACTTAAGCCAGCATTTTTTTTTTATTACTTACATTAAATTGTCCGTACACATATGTAAAATTTTTTTTAGGATCTACAAATTTTGTACATGGAAAAATTTTAAATTAAATAAAATTTTTATCAATAAAAAAATTAATAACGCGACCAATAATTACAACTAGCTTATAAAAAATTTCTCTGACCGCGAATCAATTCTGGCATACCTACATCTAACGGCTGATTATTGAGTTGAATATTGAAATGAATATAGTGAGTTTCAGTGGCATGAATGCTTATATTGATGTTAATTCAAAGCCCAACTAATTAAAAGTTAAAAAGTTATTGAAATCGAATGGAATATCGGGCGTATTCGAGGACAATTCTATTGGCAGTGCTTTGTTTCGACACCAGAGCCGCATAATTCTCGGCATTGTCCGCTCTCTACGCTACCAAGTCGAGCTGTTCGCGATAATTAGGCATATCGGACGTTTGCAGAATCGCGTCGTTTGTCAGTCGACATCCCCTTTTCCCCTTTTACCTCTGACAACAACACAGCAGCCCCTCGAGACCCATTCAAAACCGCACGTACTCCATACTCTTGTGCCATGCTATGTGCCGTACTGATTCTCTGCGCGTCCGTACTCGCTAATCTTTTTGATTTCATTCCTCTCCGTGACTATATATTAAATATTATATATTGTACGTCTATTGTATTTACATACGCATAGAATACGACAAAAATATTTGCTGTGTAAATTATTTATTTTACTGATACACAAATTGAATTGATTTGAGAAAAAAATCTTGAATCAAGATCATTTTACAAAATTAGATTATCTTGAATAGAGCCGAAAATTTTTTTAATCAAGTTTAATTTTGGGAATTGTTTGAAAGTAATATTCACGCTATTTTTTTAGCAATAAAATATTGCAAAGTAGATATTGTAAATTTTGTTTTTTTTTTATTTTTTTTTTTAATTAAAATTATTTTATTATACGGTGCACTCATGATAATAATTATGAAAGTAGTTGGAAATAAACTTTTCAATTACTCTTAAAGCTTTTAATGCTGACTAAAATTTTACGTCGACCAAAAACCATCAATAAAATTTTATCACATGAGTCGATCTGTTTCTACCTTTTTTTTATATTCTACAAGTAGAAAATTTTTTTAAAAAACTTTGGATTTGTCAACTTCTTATTAGTATAATAATTTGAAAAAAAGTTTTTTACCAAAAAATTAACATTAAAATTTTTTTTTTATAATTATTCTATAGTATACTGTCGATGAATTTTAAGAATAAAAATGTGTGATTGTTGAAAAAAAAATTTTAATATTATTTGATGGGTTAAAATAAAATGACCCGTACTTCCAAATAATTACATAAAAAAATTAAGTATACTTAATTTAGTTTATTTATAAATCTAATTTTCAAAAAATAATCTATTCAAATAATAGTGGATTGTCATAAAAGTTAACAAGTGGTAAAATTAACTCTCCCATTTGAACTAAAAAAAAATTAGTTGAATATCCGAGTCACTTAGCATTTAGATGTAGCTTCTGAGACTTCTCGCAAAATCGATCGATTAATTTACCTGCAGTTCCACTATATGGATGATTTTCTTGATCAATTTATTTTTGACTCCAACTTCCTTAATATTCACAAAAAACAATTAATTACTCAGATAAATACTTCGAAAAACAAAAAAAAAGTTTACTTATAGCTATTGACGCAAGGATGTAAATGAACCTGAGCAATATTTTAATTGTGCAGTGTTATACATTTGTATTTATGAGGTAGATAACTTTGTATAGTTGTATGTAATATAAGCTTGGAGCTTAAGATAAAGACAATTGTAAATGTTAATACTGAGGTTGTTAATAGAAAGGCCTAGAGTCTGATTTTTAGTAGAATTTTAAATGCCTTAGGTTATTATATATTACTATTATGATTATGGTAAATACACAGATTATTTTCAATAAATATTTTGAGTACAATTGCTATTCTGAAGTAAAGTAGAGAATTCAATATTAATTTCTATTTATTTAATTATTTAAATTTTATTATTTATCATAAATTAAATAGTAAAGCAATTCATAATGATATTTTGTGAACATATATCTCATATAAAATTAAACACACGTTTATAGAAATTTACTACAATTTTTTTTTTACATTTAATATTTTTTTCCAAACGAAGTTTGAATTCCGTGATTAATTAATTAGTCAATCAACATAATATGAGGAAACTTCATGTTAAACTATCACTTGAAAATAATTATCGATGATAAATTTCTGTCTTGAATGTAATTGTGATTTATAAATGGTTTAAATCTTCAATTTGCTTTTCAATAAGCTCCATTTTCGTTTCGTAACCCTTAAAAATAAAAAATTAATACACTAGCTTATACTTTTATGATTATTTAAGAATGATTTAAAAGTACCAGATTAGTGATCCGAAGGTGTGAAGAGTAGAAGCGACTGTGGGAGTGTTGTTTTTGGAATTCTCTTAATCTGTGGTGAATCAAGCTGTAACAATCGTATAACATCAAAAGCAGTTCATGAGCTTTATCGATACGAATTTTTATATTAATCGCTTCAGCATCCTGAGCCCTTTCTTTCATCAAAGAAAAGTTGTTGAGATCCTTGGAAATAGCTTCTAAAAGTAAGTCCGTGAAGTAAGAATAGTCAGAGCCCATCAAACACCAATATAAAGGTTCTGGTTCTTTTACATTGTACAATTTTTTTTCTTTTTCAATCAATTTCAATATACGTTGGTGTAATTGCTTATAATCTTCGTCATCAGATCGTAGTGGTATTAGTTGTGGTTTCCGAACTAGTTGTTTTTTACCTAGTAGATTAGATTTATTAGATGAAGAGAATTTTATGGCATCGTCAACGATCATTGTATTGCAGTTTTTACAATCTAAATAATAGCAATTCTTACAATAGCACGATCGTAAGATTTTCCATCAAGATTATCTTTGTTTATATTTAATAAATGTTATTAATTGTCAATAAATAATTTTTTAACACTAAGGGATTTAATATTTACTGAATTACACTATTACTATTCACTAACTTTTAATAAAAATTTTTCTAAGCCCTTGAATAAAAAGTAAGTATAAGAATTTAAATTTGACACTTTTTATATCTTCATAACTTTAATAGATAATAAAAAAATTAAATTAATAATATAACAATGGTTCTAAGAAGCAACATTTTTTTTGCGGTGAAAATGATTGTTGTATCGTGTTTGTTGTAGTAAAAGGTCATGACATTATTTGTTTATAAATAATCTTTCCGTCGCATCATAAAAAAGACATATTAACTTAAATAAAAATTTACTTACTGTTTATAAATATTTGTTAACTATTAATTAAATTTTAATGAATCTACTTTTCTTCCAAAAAAACATTTATTAATTAGTTTAAAAACATTTTGTTATTTTCAATAATAATCAACAAATTTTTACCAAATAAATTGATTCATTAACAATTAATAAATTCTTCTGTATCAGTGCATAACTTGTAAAAACTACAATCGAAAGATTGTTGATTCTATTATATTCTACTAAATTCTTCGTAGTTTCTGCGATCCGAATTTGGAGGGACTTACCATTTGAAGTCACAAATTCACTTAGCTTAAATTCTTTTAAAATCAGTACTTTTGAATTCTTCATGAAACGTGAACGAGAAAATGAACCTTAATTTCTAACTTTTAAAGAAGAAAATGAATCCTAATTTTCAAACCGTTTATATTCTTTTTCACATTTCTGTTTACATAAGTTTATTGTTCTAGATCATCTCAGATTATCATCTTCCATAATTTGTATTTTTTGTATCACTGAGTTAAACTGTTAAATTTTTTTAAATTTTTAATACTCAATTTTTTTATCCTCAAATTTATTTTCTTTGTTTTATTTGTCAAATTTGTATTCTAAATTAAGAAAATAATATTTCATAAAAAATAATCAATTTTTATATCTAATATTTTCTAAACTAATAGATATCTAATTTTTTCTAAACTTTATACCTTCATTAGACTTACGTGTACTTTATTATAACTCTTTTTGTATACTTTTGCCATCTGGCTATACTGCCTTGGCATTGAAATGAAATAATAATAATAATAAAAAAAATAAATTAACTCCACATATTTATAGCACGTTATTGATAAAATTTGTTTTATAATTTTATTTTTTTAAATTAAATTCTTCACCAAGAAAAGTTAAGGGGGTATTCTGGTCTAGAAATTTAAAAAATTCGAATTTTTTTTTTTTGCATATTTCCAAATTTTAGACCCTTAAAAATATGTCCTTAAGTGGATTTTTCAAAATTCGAATTATTTTCGGAGATACAGTGGATTTTGTGACGCAGCTGCTTCTGCTTCTGCTTCTTCAATAGAAGGCAGAACAGCTCGATTAGCAGAAAGAACTTCGTAAAACGTCGAGTAGGAAGTAGAAGAAGGCCCAATTTATGGATCTGGGATTCGCGATTAATCCAAAGTGAATATTAAATATTATTGTGAGTCATTTTACTGAAATTGTTTCTCAAACTTTAAACGCGATTTTCTCGAAACTACTTTTTTAAAGTGGTTGACATGATATCCTAAGTTCTACCCCACCGATTCCTTTGAAATTTAGTGGGAATTTGCTTTATATATCTCTCTATCGCGCCTGCTACGGATTTCGAAAAATTTCAATTTGGAGTATTTTTAAAAAATTCGAAAAGGTCAAAAAAAGGGGAAAAAAAAAATTGATATTTTATGTCGACGCCATTTTGTGAATTTTTTTTTTTTTTGCGCACGAATTCGCGATACAAAGAAGACGTAAAAAATGCTGTCAGGTTGAATAAAAATTATGTTCCCAGAAGAAGAAAAACTTATAAAAGTACTTATTATATTGCAAAAAAAATAAAAACATGTAATGGAGGGAAAGGCTCGACTCCATTTATAAAATTATTACCATTATTTGATAATGTTTGGGGATATCCTATCGATTATATGCACGGTTGTTTACTCGGTGTTGTTCGTCAATTATGGGCTTTGTGGACTACAGCAGGGACTGACTTTTACTTAACAAAGGATAATCGTGATGAAATTCAAAAACGTTTAGATAATATGAAGCCACCTCACGAAATTCATCGACTTCCAGGATTGATAAAAAATTTTAGTAAATGTAAGGCTTCTCAACTGAAATCTTGGCTGTTGTATTGGAGTCCGATCTGTTTAAATGGCATTTTAAACAAAGAATGTTTTGACTCTTATTTACTGCTTGTACGCAGCATTCATACTCTTCTAAAACGTACAATAACGGAAAGTGAGATTTTACGATCAGAATATGATCTGTTAAAATTCGTTGGAGAGTTCCAGTCAATTTATGGTCTCGGAGCAATGACATTTAATATCCATTCACTTCTTTATTTGGGCGAATCAGTGAGAAGAAGTGGGCCATTATGGGAAACATCCGCATTTCCTTTTGAAAATGGGATCTTTTATGATAAATTGAATGTCAACGGACCAAAAGGTGTCAGTCTTCAAATGAGCCGCAAACGGTTGAAAAAAATTCGACTGCGTTCCAAGATCAACGCTTCAACAACCTCTAATGAATGTGCGAATTACTGTCACAAACTATTTGCGTATATTGACTACTACAATTGTTTTGACTCAACTGGAGCGAAAGGATTTCCTTAAAATAACATTTTTCTAAATTCAATTTTTTAATTTAATATTCAGAACTTTCAATGTAAATATTACATTCTACAATGTAATTCTTATAAAATCTGTAATAATTACATTTGAAACTGTAATTTTTCCAGTTTTCATCACGAAGCGCTACGTTGCATTATATACTGTAATATTTCGAGTTTTCTTTTTTTCGTGCAAAAAAAAATTTATTGACTCAAGAATCATTTAAAATGAATTTTGGTTTTTTGACAAAAGAATATCAATATCTATCATGATAATAAAATGTTGACATTAATTTTGATAGATTAAAAAATGAATAGGTTCACTTGAATTAAACAAAAAATACTTCGATTAATTCGATCAATTCTTGAGACAAGAAAATATATTCTTGAAAATTATCAAGAATATATATTCTTGTGACAAGAAAATTTTCTTAAGAGTCATACTTTTTTGTCTCAGTGTGATTTTGATAAATAATATATCAATTAAATATTATTTATAAAATTTACCTTTTTTCAAAAGAGCTGTTCTTACTCCCTTCATATCATCTTTGACATGATTGATATCGCCACCTTGATAAACTTTATTCTCCATATATTGTTTTGATGTGCTTGGTAGTGAAAACGGTTTATTACAATTGTTATTATCATGAATTTTTTCATAATAAATGAATGATTTGTCGTTATTTTCTAAAGTTAACTTTTGATCTCCGTTAGAAGCAAACTCATCATCTACCGACATTATTTCACCGTCAACTTCAACATAACGTTTTGTAATTTCACAATTTGGTAAATTACTTTTTCCTTTCATAAAGGTTGAAAAATTAGATATACCAGAATCACTTCCTTGATTGTCCATGTCTACTTCTGCTCGGATAGTTTTTAGGAACAAGATCCTTCGTTGACCACCAAAACGTAACTGGACTAAGTTGTTTAATTGCTCTACTAAATCCGCGATTATTACGATACAAATTAATGAGTGACGTCAATCCAGCCTTTTGTTGTTATTGGGCCGATTTTCTTCATCGCTATTAAAAACTGTATTGTTGCCATCAACTTCAATTTAACCTGTCCAATGCTTTGAAAATCTTGAGTGCTTTTCACAGTGTATTCAAATTATATTCATTGGCTATTACATTCAATTAACTATAATTATTTTGCTTGTCTGCAGACAAAAGATTGAAATGCTTCGATGTTACGGAAATATTTAAATATTATTAAACATAATTTTTATTATGATTTTTGAAAGAAGTTTTTTTTTCATTTTTTTACATCAAATTTTCTTTTTAAACATAAAGGCCTTACGTTCTTTGTTCATAACAATAATTCTGATTAGAATAAAAAGATTTCATGTCACTTATCAAAACAATATAAATCTCATTGTCACTAAATATTGATTTGTGTTAATAAATTTATTTGTACTGAGCCAAGTATCCAATAATACCGAAAATTTTTAATTTTTGTATTGAAAAAAAAAAATCAATTGAAAAAAAAACAGTCCTTGTCAATATTTAATTAACCATAAAGTTAGTTGAAGTCTTTAAAACAAATAAAAATTGTAATAGATACTGTAATCAGTCGATATACACTGACATAAGAATTTGTAAGGGAGTAATAAATTAATTTCTTAAATTCTCATGAAGTGGTTTATTTAAAAATAAAAAATATTTTTAATAATTGGAATAAGTTAATTTTTCATATCAAATATTTTTTATCACCAAAGAGGATTTTTTAATAATTAAAAAATAATTCTCAAAAGAACAGAATTAGTCAGTACACAGTAAAAAATTTTGCGTCAAAAAACTTAGTGTTAAAATTTTGTGTTTTAAATATTTAACACTTTTTTGTGTTGATTTAACAGAATAAATGTTAAATTAACACAAAAAAGTGTTAAATATTTGACACAAAAATTTTTAACAC